ATATGCTCTCCCAGACATATTTCTTTGTACATTTTTGTTTTTAACACATATGGATTTAACTTTTGATACAGTTTTGAAATAAGGATCCAGTTGTTTTTAAATTTCGAGAATCAGTTTTTCCCTCACCAATTATGAATAGCCTAACTATTCTCCACTGATAAGAAGTTCCCTTTTTGTCATATATCAAGTTATTATACAGGGTTTGGTCTGTTTCTGAGCTGTGTTCTGTTAGTCTGTTAATCGCTCCTGACTGTTTCACTGACTTAATTATTTTAGTTTCATGGTAAGTCTTGATAACTGACAGGACAAGTTTCTTCATCTTATTGTTCTTCAAAAATCTTTTGACAATTCTAGGCCTTTTACCTATTTTCTTGCCTTTAAAAGAGCTTTGAAATGTAAAAAGTGATATTTCCTTGTTTTCTTTTAAATTTTTTTTTTCAACGTTTATTTATTTTTCGGACAGAGAGAGACAGAGCATGAATGGGTGAGGGGCAGAGAGAGAGGGAGACACAGAATCGGAAACAGGCTCCAGGCTCTGAGCCATCAGCCCAGAGCCCGACGCGGGGCTCGAACTCACGGACCGCGAGATCGTGACCTGGCTGAAGTCGGACGCTTAACCGACTGCGCCACCCAGGCGCCCCTTCCTTGTTTTCTTTTAAAATAAATGTTTGTTTACCTTTACCACATGAGACACACTCTGTTTCCTACTAGATTTAATTCTGTTCCATTCCATTGTACTTCACCTGAAATATGTTTTCTTTCAAAATAAATATGGCTACCATTTATCAAATACATATTTTGCTCACAGTGCATACTTGCAGACATAAATTCTAAGTGCTTTATATACATTATCATATTTTGTCTATAGCACCCCTATGAGATACTACCATCCTAATTATGTAGAGAAGGAAATTGAGACCCGGAAAAGTTTAAAAGTATTTCTAAAAGTCAGAAAGATGGTAAGTTGGAGATCAGAATTTGAACTGAGTTCAAACTCCAAAGGTTACTTTTATATCTGGATACAACTGGTTTTCTTTCATTATTGTTAAGGTTTATTGTTTATTAGCTACATTTTTCTCTAAATTGATGGTTTATAATCACTTGACATTCTTCTGTTATGATGCTAGTATTTTTCTTCTGATTTATAAAAGCTTTTTCTGTATCAATGATATTCCCCTTTGTCCTTCATTGCATTTTTTTTTCTGCATTCTTTTGCCTTTTGGTTTTGTGCATAATTTTTATATGGTATAGTTGAATTTTAATGTAGCCATTGTATCTTTTATTTTTACCATAGTTCTAAACATAAAACATCTTACCATTTCTATGATTATTTTAATTATTCAGATTTTTTAAATAATTTTTAAAGTTTTTTAAAAAATTGACTCTGTAACATACCTGAAATTTGTATTAAAAAATTGACTCTGTAACATACCTGAAATATAAAGGTTTAATTGGATTTTTTTCCTAAAATTTTTCTAACACTGAATGAACAACAAATGCATCATTTGTTGAATCCAGTGGAAGTATTTATGTTAAATTCTCATATGTACTGGTTTCCATTGACCAGTTGGTTTTTATATCATTGTCTTAACATTTTAGTTGTATACTATAAATAATAGATTGTAGTATCTATTAGGGCATCTATAAGGCAAATTCTTTAATCAAAGTTATCCAACTCAATTGTTATAGTACTTTTTAAAATGCTATATATTAAAAAATAAAATAGACTTAGTCCAACCTTTTATTGAGTTTGCTCTTAAGGTAAGTTAACCTAGGTGCATTCACAAAGAAGACCAGGTAAATGATACAGCTGCTGACATTTTTCTTTAAGGAAAAATCTAAACCTGAAAGAATTAGCAGTATAGGAAACAGAGAGTATCCCATTCCAAGAACCCATTGTAGTATCTCTGGCCGTCTCCTAAGCTTCTCCCTAACAATCCTATGGGATTATGCAGAGGTGATGGCACAGTCAGCCACTAGCTGGAATAGACATTGGTTGTTAAAAAGGACCGTTTTGGAACAATTGCTTCCCTCAAGAACAAGTAAAACTACTTTTCAGTACAGTATTTGTGTCTAGCACAGTTTTTTGGAGGAGAGGTGGGGGTGTTTCTATATGCAGTGGCTCCTTAGTTGCAGCTCATGAAGGTGTCTTAACTGTATTTACCATAGAGAAAATGGATAATTTTCCTGGTTGTTTGTAAGCTGTCAGGAATAGTTCCAGGCACAACTTGAGTTTCCTTATGCTTTACCACGCTCTTGATGCAAATGAGGTCCACATTTCACAGCCTTTTGCCCTCGCTCGCAGATCCTCTAAAATGCTCTACAGGATTTTCTGAGGTCTTTTCAATTACCTACAGCCATGCTCCATGCCAGATACGTCAGAATCCTTGGAGTTCAGGGCTTAGGCACCTCTCTGTATTCTCAGAAATTTTTACTCTAGAAATTTCTGTCATACATACCCATGAATATATCCCTTCCTGGTGCACTCTCTCTCTCTCTCTCTCTCTCTAGCTGAACAAGACTACCAATGCACCAGAGCCCTCAAAATGCCAAAACTGTGAGTTATCTCTAGCAACTTCCCTCTTCATTGGAATATAACATCCCATACAAAGCAGGACAGCTAATGTCCCAATCTTTTGTACAGATATTGGTGAAATGTTTCTCAGTTTTTACTTAACAACCCTCTCCATTCCCAACACCCATGTTGAGTCCATGAGACTGGGTCAGAGATGAATTAGAATGTTTACCACTGTACTTTACTCAGAATTACTCCTCTCTTCCTCCATCAAGTTAGGCTTTGACTTTGGATCAAGCTTCCTGTATTTTTCATCTTGCCTCAGAGTGAGTTTTTCTCCTAGAATATCACAGTTCTTTGCGTAAAGAAACTTCTAGTGGGTTTATGCACTTGTTTATAAAGCAGGACTGGATTGTACAGGTTAAGCTGGGACCTCTATTACAATGAAAACCCCTGAGCTCTATGTCACATCATAGCATGTCTTCTCATTTTTTTTACTGTTTCCTTTCTTTTTCACCACCTATCAGTGTATTGCTATTCTGCTTATGCCCACTTTAAGATGTATTTACACATTTAATTTAAATGATCTTTAGTCTAATTTTTTTTAATGTTTATGTTTTTGAGAGAGACAGACCAGGAACAGGAGAGGGGCAGAGAGAGGGGGATACAGAATTGGAAGCAGACTCCAGGCTCTGAGCTGTCAGCACAGAGCCCAATGCCAGGCTCAAACTCAGGAACCGTGAGATCATGACCTGAGCCGAAGTCGGACACTCAACCGACTGAGCCACCCAGGTGCCCCCGTTTAGTCTGATTTTTAATTTAATGCCATCTTCTAAGGAGTCGTTTCATTTACATTAAAAACCTCCAATTTAAATTTGTTTTTTAACTGATGCAAAATCCAATTTGTAAATAAATATTATATTTGGTAAAGAGGAAGCAGACAGAGTCCTCCCAAGGACTTCAGGGTATAGTGACTAATGTTAAAATTTCATTCTTTTTATTATTAGAGAAACTCACCAGGAGCCAAAAACTGAATTATCTTGAGTAATTCCAAGGTTTTTGGGATAGTTTCAGCTACACACCTCTCCCTGAACACGTACAACCATGTTCAGAACTTTTGTACTTTGGTGTCCTACCTCTACTTCATTGTGAGCCAACTGTGACTAACTTTGCTCTCTTGTTTTTTGAGGGAACAGCAACTTAGATAGATGCAGTCTCCCATGGGGAGCAGACAGTGTCTGAGCAGCAACAACCCCAAGGGATGGAGACATGGTTAGTAGCCGTGGATGGTAGCCGGTGCTAATAATAGTAGCAAAAAATTGATTGCTTCTCGAGAGCAAAGGGCAGCAAGTATTCTAGGAAAGCTTCCTAGGCTATATAACTTTTAGAATAGACCAATCAGAATGTCCTGAAAGACAGCCAATCACAGCAGTAGGTAAGGTAGAAAATCCTACTGAGTTAATTGGGTTCTGTACCCTGCCAGAAATTACATTCATGGGAAGTATCTACTTTTGCCTTATGAATTGGGAAGGTAGTGAAATCACTGAAAATTTGCAATTCTCAAAAATTAAAATAGGCTAATTATATAATGGAATTCTAAGTTTACATTTTAAAATGAGTTTTCTTTCTTAAAATTGTGCTTATGAATTGTTTTGCGTGTGTGTATGAACAGTTGTTACCCTGTTTCTTCCAATGTAGCTATGAATTAACATTAACTAGAATCTGTTAAGTAGAATACATTTCTACAGTCTTTAAATTACAGAAAGGAAAATAAATGATTTAGGAAATTTAGACAAAAAATTACCTGCTGAAATGGTTAAAAGGGCTCTCCTAAATAAAAAAATTGAAATTGAAAAAAAAACCCTCCAGAATGGCAAAATAAAGCTATTTTAGATTCTTCAGATTTGGAACCATTGTAAACTATGATTAGGATGCTGGTGCATTAAGTGGAGTTGTGTCTTATTCAAGGATATATACAGAACTGATATATACAAAATCTGATATATACAAAATTACCCTTGAAAATCCTTTAGGAAGCCAGGACATTGGAGTTCCACAGTTAGGATTCAAGGATTGTATTAAACGGGTGGCTTGTGTTTCAAAGCTATGTTGTCTTTTAGAATATATACTTCCTCTAAGAACCCTAGAGTCACACTATTTGTAGAGTGGTGCTTAGATGATGAGGGTATATGAACTTACGATCAGCTGAGAAATGAGCAAATTCACACCACTCACTCCAGAGCATATGCTCACTGAAAATCAGGTAGAATTATCTATACTATTTATATGGTAAATAGTCATTTTTCTTTCTTGTATTACTAAGCTTCTTATAGTTGAATTTGTGATAATTAACTTCATAAAGAAACAACTCCACAGTATATGAGTATGTGTTTATGTTAAGTTTTACCTGAATTTTTGCTAATCTTTTTGTCATTCAAGTAAGAAAGAATGATGCTATACTGTATTATTCCTTTATTGTCTACAGATAATGGATTCTGAATTAATGCATAGTATTGTAGGAAGCTATCTTAAACCTCCAGAAAGAGTGTTTGTTCCATCATTTGCCCAGAATAATGAAACATCCCAGACTTACCGCTCTGCGAACTTAGAGGTTACCTCTCCTAAAATGCTTCATAGTCCAAATGGCCAAGGTAATTCTGTGTTTTTAATGTTTATTTATTTTGAAAGAGAGAGAGAGAGAGTGGGGGAGGGGCAGAGGGAGAAGGAGAGAGAGAATCCCAAGCAGGCTCCAGGCTGTCAGCGCAGAGCTGGCACAGGGCTCTATCCTATGACCGAGCTGAGCTGAGCCTAAATCAAGAGTCAGATGCTTAACAAAAACTGAGCCACCCAGTGCCCCAAATAACCAAGGTAACTCTAATTTACAATCTTATTTAAAATTGGGGAATGGTATAAAACATGTTATATAAAATTTTACATTAAAAAAAATTTTTTTAATGTTTATTTTTGAAAGAGAGACAGAGTGTGAATGGGGGAGAGGCAGAGAGAGAGGGAGACACAGAATCCGAAGTAGGCTTCGAGCTGTCAGCACAGAACCTGATGCAGGGCTCTAACTCCTGGATGGTGAGATCATGACTCATGGTCATGACCTGAGCTGAAGTTGGATGCTTAACTGACTGAGCCACCCAGGCTCCCCTAAAATTTTACATTTTTATGCAGAAAATAATATTATGTGTTTAATCTTAGTAAAACTATTAGTTTTGACTTGGTTGCTTAAAGTTTCTATAAACATAGATAAGTTATTTAATATTTTTTATTTTGGCTTCTTCAGCTATAAGGTGAAGATTAACCAGCTAGACACATATTACAATTTTATCCTAAAAAATCACTATAAAATAGGAAAATACTCTGAAGAATAAAAGGTCATATTTGGAATCCTTGTAAACTAGGTGATTAGAATAATAGTGAATTGAGTAAAGTTGTGTCTGATTCAAGGATTAAATTCAGAAATTGCCTGTTTCCAAAATTGTCCTTGAAAATTTTATGGGAAGTCCATACATTGTAAGTACATTGTAAGTATTGTCTTTTAAAATATAAACTTAGGAGAATCTCATAATTGAATTAGGAAAACATTTATGAATTTAGGCATACCTATGCCATACAAATTACCTGCTAAGATGCTATCACCTTGTTTTTTAATATTCTGTGATTATAGTTACCATTAATAAATAGACTAGCAGTGTGGTGTAAAAAGCTGTACGAAATATTCCAAATCAGCAAGCCAGGTATTGCATCTAAAGAGCAATAAATGTAATTTCTGATCTCATTTTAAAAAACAAAACAAAAAACAAATGGTGATCTCTAGCAAACATCGTCCTAATTGGACATAAACTACAGGCATACCTTAGAGATATTGTGGGCTTGGTTCCAGACCACTGTAATAAAGTGAATATATCACAATAAAGTGAGTCAAATGCATTTTTTGGTTTCTCAGTGCATATAAAAGTTACATTTAGACTACACTGTAGTCTATTAATTTTGCAGTAGCATTGTCTAAAAAACAATGAACTACATATCTTAACTAAAAAATACTTCATTGCTAAAAAATGCTAAGCATCATGTGAGCTTTCAGTGAGTTATAATGACTGAACACAGATCACCGTAACAAATATAATAATCATGAAAAGTTTGAAATAGTACAAGAATTACCAAAATGTGACACAGAGACATGAAGTGAGCAAATGCTGTTGGGAAAATGACACTGGCAGATTTAATCAACACAGGGTTGCCACAAACCTTCAATTTGTAAAAAAAAAAAAAAAAAAAAAGAAATGCAGTATCTGTTAAGTGCAATAAAGTGAAGCACAATAAGACCAAGTATGCCTGTATGTAAAAATTAACCCATAACCTATAACATTTACCTATATTCCATTCCCCTCTAGTTGTATACTTTGAAGTTATAACTGAATAGACATTATTACTTGAAATTTTTATAACTCTGAACTTACCTGAATCATCATGATATTAATATAGCTGAATAAAAATCACAGTAGTATATGTGTACCACTTAAAATCTTTCAAGCCTGATATGAATCAAACCACTAGGGTATAATTTTTTTTCTAGTGGAAGAAATTGTGTTCTAACTCATATGTTCTGATTATTAATACTGTAATCTTAGACAAAGAATCATAACGTGTTTGTGATTTAGCTAAACTGAACATATCAAGAACTGAGAAAAACCTTTAACATTAAACCTAAATTTCCATGTTAATTAGTGGATACTACATTTAAATTTTCTTTATCCATACTCAGACTCTTACGCCTCCTAGACTATATCTTTTTTAAGTCTTTTTATTTGAAGATATATATTTTATTGAACTAAATTGTGATTATTAGCTGTCTCAAACCTAGAAAATTACTACATACAATCACAAATATACTGTTTTTATAAGATATGTTAGAAAAAATTTGTCTCTCTTTAGAGGTTTAGTGAATTTTTTTGAGGAATATACATTACTTGTACGTTTTTCTGGCTTACTAACAAAAATATACTGTTACTTTTATATGATACTGTGTAAGTGTTCAAAAATTTTCATTAAAATAACAAGCAAATTTTTTTTTGCAACAGCTCTAATTTTAGCCTTAAAAACTCTTCAGGAAAAGATTCATCGTTTAGAGTTGGAGAGAACACAAGCTGAGGACAACCTGAACATTCTTTCCAGAGAAGCAGCACAGTATAAAGAGGCCTTGGAGAAAGAAACAAATGAGAGAAATCTGGTACACCAGGAACTGATAAAGCAGAAAAAAGGTAAGAAAATTCAATAGTTCTCAAAAACAAGGAATAATCAGAGTTTACAACTTGAAAATAATAAGCCCAGTCTAACATTTACTCAAATATCTTTGTTCTTATGTATATTCAAACCTTGAGGGCTTGTTCTCAATTTGATAATTTGCATTAAATGGATATAATATTGAGCTTACATATATTATCCCAGTTCATAAATTATTGAGATTAAAAGAAAAAATTAAGTTTTTAGACAAATTGTGTTTAGAAATTAGGACATTTTCAGAATACCAAAAAAATCTAGTTTTACCCATAATATAATTGAAATACTTTATATTTTCAGTCAACACTGATTTTTTAAATTTGAAAATATAAAGCAACACTAGTAATTAAACAATACAGAAACCATAAAAATGAATACAATTCTTTTATTAACTTGAAAGGTTAATTAGAGGAAATGGACAGGTAAGTAGAGATTTCTGTGGAAATTACAAAAGAACATCAGGACGTAAGTTTTTAAATTTTAGAACATAAATTCTTTAGGAGCTCCTGGATTAAGTGTCCAACTTCAGCTCAGGTCATGATCTCACTGTCTGTGAGTTCAAACCCTGCGTCCGGCTCTGTGCTGACAGCTCGGAGCCTGGAGCCTGTTTTGGATTCTGTGTCTTCCTCTCTTTCTGCCCCTCCCCTGCTTGCCCTCTGTCTCTCTCAAAAATAAACATAAAAATTTTCAAAAAAAAAAAAAAAAGTAAGTTATTTATATAAGTTTACTTCATAATGTGTAACTTTCTTTTCCCTTGTACTACATTCACCATCATAAATAAGGTTCAAATTTGTGTGTCAACTTACAAAAAGAGTGACGAAATGAGAAAAATTTTTCTGAGGTAATTGGACAAAAGTGGAAGAAACTGCTGAGGAAAGTAAAAAATTAAAGGATTAGAAGGGATTACTTCTTAGGACATTAACTATGCTGTCAGTAGTCAAGAGCAGAGGAAATGGGAATGGTAAAATGCATATACCCGAGTTTCCTGAAAGAGAAAACTATATAGATAAGAAAGAGACTTTAGGTCCTCTGTCATTTCCCAGGAACATCCAGGATTTCTATCATCCCACAAGTAAGTCACTGACATCTTACTCTTTCATAAGTGTACCCTGTGGATCTTTAGGGGGAGACAGTGTTAAACTAGTTATATGTACTTAATGAGAAATTCACAAAATGTGTGTCCATAACTCTTAGAGAGCCAGTATTAGAACTAAAGATTTCTTGAACTTCTAGGTCTTGATTGAATTTACATAATGTATTTCTCATGATAACCAAACCTGTAATCTATGTGATAATCAACACATTATTACTTTTTCTTTCTCACAGATATTACTATACAGTTAAATTCTGCCCAGGTTCGCTGTACTCTTCTAGAGAAGCAACTAGAATATACAAAGAGAATGGTTCTCAATGTAGAGCGAGAGAAGAATATGATCCTACAGCAACAGGTGAACATATTTTTATATGAATAAAATATAATTTAATATGTTTTGGGAGAATAATGTTATGGGAAGATTGTATTACAATCTTAAGTAGGATAAAGAGCTATATTGAGATTTCCACTTACATTGAAGCTGACTGGGTCATTGGACTAAGCTTTGTGTAGAAGGAAACAAGAAAAACTAGGCAAGATATTAAAAAAGAAGGAAAGAAGGGAGACAGGGAGGGAGGAAGAAAGGAAGAAAGGGAAAAAATACATAAAGGCATTGGAGAGTTAACTAAGTGATGAAAAATCACCAATTAAAGGGGCGCCTGGGTGGCGCAGTCGGTTAAGCGTCCGACTTCAGCCAGGTCACGATCTCGCGGTCCGTGAGTTCGAGCCCCACATCAGGCTCTGAGCTGATGGCTCAGAGCCTGGAGCCTGTTTCCGATTCTGTGTCTCCCTCTCTCTCTGCCCCTCCCCCGTTCATGTTCTGTCTCTCTCTGTCCCAAAAATAAATAAACATTTAAAAAAAAAAAAAGAAAAAAAAGAAAAATCACCAATTAAAAATTAATGGGTGTAGACTTAAATCCAAAGTGGTTGGCCTCCAAAGAGGTTGGCCTCTAGAGAGGCTAGTTTCAGGCCCTATCCTTCTTAGGGCATTTCTGATTCCAGAGATTCAACTGCGTGGCCAGATAATGCTTTTCAAAGCTATGGGGCTAAAGAAATTGAAGTTAGATTCCAGGGCCTAGCAAGAGTAGGAACCCTGATAGATCCATTGTGCTCCGAATGCTTTGTAGGGATGAACAAGAAAGAAAACAACCCAGATAAATCGATCAGAGTAATCCAGAAAATCTTAGTCTTTGAAATTGGATTGAAGTCATCCTGGATAGCTAATGTTCCTAGGGATCTGAAATTATTTCTACAAACCTTTCTTTGACGCAGTGAAAAACTTTCAGTCAAACATAACCAGGCAGAAGGAATTAAGACACTATGAGAGTTTCTTTCATTAGTGTTTTGTAGTTTTCAGAGTACAAGTCTTTGACCTGTTTGGTTAGGTTTATTCCTAGGTATCTTACTGGTTTTGGTGCACTGGTGATGGGATTGATTCCTTAATTTCTCTTTATGCTGCTTCATTATTGGTGTATAGAAATGCAACAGATTTCTTCGAATTAGTAATCAAAACTCTCCCAAAAAACAAGAGTCCAGGGCAGGATGGCTTTCCAGGGGAATTCTACCAAACATTTAAAGAAGAGTTGACACCTATTCTATTGAAGCTGTTCCAAAAAATAGAAATGGGAGGAAAACTTCCAGACTCATTCTATGGGGCCAGCATTACCTTGATTCCAAAACCAAAGTCCCCACTAAAAGAGAACTACAGACCAATTTCCCTGATGAATATGGATGTAAAAGTCCTCATAGCCAACCAGACCCAACAATACATTAAAAGAATAATTCACTATGACCAAGTGGGATTTATACCTGGGATGAAGGGCTGGTTCAATATCTGCAAATCAATTAATGTGATACATCGCGTTAATAAAAAGAAAGACAAGAACCACATGATCCTCTCAATAGATGCAGAGAAAGCATTTGACAAAATACAGCATCCTTTCTTGATAAAAACCCTCAAGAAAGTAGGGATAGAAGGATCATACGTCAAGATCATAAAAGCCATATATGAAGGACCCACCGCTAATATCATCCTCAAGGGGGAAAACTGAGAGCTTTCCCCTTAAGGTCAAGAACAAGACAAGGATGTAGGATGTCCACTCTCACCACTGTTATTCAACATAGTGTTGGAAGTCCTAGTCCCAGCAATCAGACAACACAAAGAAATAAAAGACATCCAAATAGGCAAGGAGGAAGTCACTTTCACTCTTTGCAGACAACATGATACTCTATCTGAAAAACCCAAAAGATTCCACCAAAAAACTGCTAGAACTGATCCATGAATTCAGCAAAGTCACAGGACATAAAATCAACGCACAGAAATCGGTTGCATTCCTATACACCAATAATGAAGCAACAGAAAGAGAAATCAAAGATTCAATCCCATTTACAATTGCACCAAAACTATAAAATACCTAGGAATA